AAGTGATTCTCGTGTCTCAGCCTCCCAAGACACTGGGATTACAGGCATGCACCACCAAGCCTGGCTAACTTTTATATTTTTTGTAGAGACCGGGTTTCACCACATTGGCCAGGCTGGTCTCAAACTCCTGACCTCAACACCTGCCTCGGCCTCCCAGAGTGCTGGGATTATAGCCCCTGCACCCGGCCATTTTATTTAACTCATTAAATAGATGAACCAGACAGATGTTATCACCTTTTCAAAGGAGAATACAAAGAGCAGACAGGTTTACAGATCAGAAATGTTGAGCTTGCAAATGGACGCAAAACTGGCTTTGTTTTTGTTGTTGTTTAATTTTTTTTCTTAAAAAAAAAAAATAAAGACAGGGTTTCACCATGTTGGCCAGGCTTGATCTCAAGTGATCTGCCTGCCTCCGTTTCCCAAAGTGCTAAGATTACAGGCATGAGCCACTACGCCTGGCCAAACTAGCTTTTCCATAGAGGTGGAGAGTTCATCCCCCAACCGGGTAGAATTCTTTCATAAGTCCACAGACAGGAATCATTTGCATTGCCATGAGCTCCCTGCAAGTTAACTTTAATCTCTATAATAGTCTAGGCCCAGATAAAGGCAAGTATCTTTTAGGATCAGATGACCTCCCAAATTCCAACACTGCATGAAAGGATATCTATTAATTTCTTTTACTTATTTCAAAATATTCCATTTCTCCTTACATTTTAGGGCCTGCTAAAGGAAAAAGTTTGTGGTCATTAACAAGCTCCAAGTTCTGGCCCACTGTTAACCATTCATTCAAAAATATTTTTACTACTACATGTTGTGTTCTTACCATAGTACAAAGTCAAATAAATTTTGGAAATAATGAGTCATGGTCCTTCCTCAGAATTTATTTACTATCTCATTATAGAGACAAGACACACAGAAAGCTACTAGTCAATTAATTTAATGAACAACAAAATTGTGAGTACAACTAAAAAAATAGGGCAGTATAAAACAGAAGTACAGTCGATCTCCATTATTTGTGGATTCCGTATTTGCAAATTTGCCTACTTGCTAAAATTTACCTGCAACCCCCACATTCTGTAACCCCTATGTACAGAGAAGTGAAAATTTTTAATTGCCCCAAGTGCACATTCCCAGCTGAGGCTGAACAAGACATCGTCTGCCTTTTTGTTTCAGCTCTCATACTATACCATAAACAGTGGCCTCTGTTACCTGGCTGGAGTCCAGGCACCATCGTGGCTCATTGTGGCCTCACCCTCTCAGGCTAAGCAATCCTCCCACCTCAGACTCCAGAGTAGCTGGGACTACAGGCAAGAGCCACTATGCCTAGCTAATTTTTGTATTTTTTATAGGGACAGGGTTTTGCCACGTTGTCCCGTCTGGTCTTGAACTTCCCGGCTCAGGCGATCCAGCCACCTTGGCCTCCCAAAGTGCTGGGATTACAGGCATGAGTCATCGGGCCAAAGTGTCCTTTTCACATTCCATTTAGTGATATGTTTTTCACGTTTTTGTACTTTTTGTTGATGTGGCTGTTTAAATGGTCCCCAAGCATAGTGCTGTAGAGTGCTCCTAAGCACAGGAAGGCTGCCATGAGCCTTGCAGAGAGACAAGCTTTGTTGAGGTAAGAATTATAGTGTTGTTTACTGCATTGAATGTTAATGAATCAACAATATATATTAAAGAAGATATGTTTAAATGGAAACACACATATAAGAAGATTATGTATTGATAAGTTGATGAAAATGTGACCAGATGCTTACAAGATCCTAATCCTGTATTTCCCTTAGGAGCAATTAATTTCAAAATTCTGTTGTACCTCAGTTCCATGGGCACCCAGAGGACACATTGTTGAGCCTCAGCTGGGAATGTGCACTTTGGCAATTAAAAATTTTCACTGCTCTGTACACGTATGTAGGGTGCCAGCCCCCAGACACCACCCGTGGGTACCCCGAATTCAGTGACGAGAAAGGAATGAGAAAAAGACAGGTTAAGAATGCATAAAGTTTGGCCGGGCGCGGTGGCTCAAGCCTGTAATCCCAGCACTTTGGGAGGCTGAGGCAGGTGGATCACAAGGTCAAGAGATCGAGACCATCCTGGTCAACAAGGTGAAACCCCGTCTCTACTAAAAATACAAAAAATTAGCTGGGCATGGTGGTGCGTGCCTGTAATCCCAGCTACTCAGGAGGCTGAGGCAGGAGAATTGCCTGAACCCAGGAGGCAGAGGTTGCGGTGAGCCGAGATCGCGCCATTGCACTCCAGCCTGGGTAACAAGAGCGAAACTCCGTCCAAAAAAAAAAAAAAAAGAATGCATAAAGTGGGACCAGGGGGCCAGTGCAAAACTGGGCGCTGCAAAGGCCCTGAGCTCTTGTTTTCCACAGTATTTACTGAATAAAATCACTTTTATCTATAGTGCACATGGTGGGGTGAATTGGTGAAAGGGAGGCTGCGCATCAAACATAAGATTGATAGCAGTGGCAGTTTATGTGAGTTTCTCAAGAGCTAAAAGCTATGTTTATCCATAGATAAAGCGGCTGGGGGGAGCAGGCTTAGCAAGGAGCCTACAACTCTGGTTACATTCCAGTGCTTCAAGGGAGTGTTACGTCCTTGGGCACTATGTTTAAAATATCAAAGCTGAGGTCACTCTGTAGTTGGGAACATGCTGGCAATAGAGAGGCCTTCCTCCCCAGAGGCCTCCTGCGACCTTCTAGAGTTCATTGTTTCTGATTTCTTTTATACATTACTTATAACCAGTTTATGTAGGCACACTGTAAACCCTTCCTCCATTGCTGCTTGCCCCAACACACGTATTTCCCCAGGTTGGGCATCCACCTTTCAAATCTCCCCAAGTACATAAAAATACTCTAAAATAATAATTCTTTTCCTCTTAGCATTACATCCGGCACCTGTTAATAGCTGTCTAGCCCTGTTAAGAAAGTTTATTTCAGCCGGGCGCTGTGGCTCTCGCCTGTAATCCCGGCACTTTGGGAGGCCGAGGCGGGTGGATCACCTGAGATCAGGAGTTCGAGACGAGCCTGACAAACCTGGTGAAACCCCATCTCAAAAAAAAAAAAAAAAAAGTTATTTCTGCCGGGGATGGTGGCTCACGCCTGTAATCCCAGCACTTTCGGAGGCGAGGCAGGTGGATCACTTGAGGTCAGGAGTTCGAGACCAGCCTGTTAAACATGGCAAAACCCTGTCTCTACTAAAAATACAAAAATTAGCCAGGTGTGGTGGCTCATCCCATCTACTTGAGAGGCTGAGGCAGGAGAATCGCTTGGACCCGGGAGGCGAAGGTTGCAGTGAGTCGAGATCGTGCTATTGCACTACATCCTGGGCGACAAGAGCGAAACTCCATCTCAACAACAGAAAAGTTTATGTCTTTCTGTTTCTTTAAGACGAATGCCAGGTGTTTTGCCCTCTTCAGAAATGGCTGCTCGCGCTTCCCAAGTTCTGCGCATGCTCCCTGAGCAGAATTCGGGATTAAGGCAATTCATGAACTCTCACTGCGCAAGATGGAGAGTAGGCCCACCTGCGGCGAGACTCCACCTCCCAGCATGCCTTGCAGCCGGGCCCGGAGTCGGTACTTCGAGTGATGGGATGCCCTAGGCGCTTTAGGCCACCGCTTCGGTTATAGAGATTGAGGTGAAACCCCGGGCCTGGGAACCGGACGCAGGCAAAGGGGGAAGATGGAAGCGTGGCGCTGTGTGAGGAAGAGCTACGGCCACTGTGTGGTGGGAAGAGGCCGGTCAGTAGGGATTGGGTACTTGGAGGGAGGAGAGAGGGGCGGGCGGCCTCTGGGCGCGGGCGGGTGTCCGGGACTAACCCGGGGCGGGGCAGGGCGGGTTAGGGGAAGGGAGGAAGAGGAAGAGGGTCTGGGCGATGGTGCATCCGGGACGAGCCTCTGGAGACCAAAAGGGTTAGGTAAACCCGGCGCGCAGCCAGCTGGACGCTGGGCCGACGAGGTCTGGGGTCTTGGCGCGGAATTCATGGGCCTGCGGCCAGGCTTGTGCCAGTGGCTTTGGATCCCTGGCCCGCTTCCCCCAGCCCAGCCTCCAGACCAGCGCTGGCCTGCTCCCCGCACTCCGCAGCACCGTCCCGGGAGCCGATCGTCTGCGAGGAGGCGGCCTCTCCGCAGTAGGTCTCGGCGGGCCTGATTCCCTGGAGCCACGCGTGTGGCACACGCCCAGGAGGGGCTTGATTTTCGTTGATGTGTTTGTGTCTCAAACTTTAGTCACTTGTATGTCATCCCTTACTGTTATGGCCAAGTTATCGTTCCACGTGTATTATTTACTGGATATTATTCTTTAAATTGACTCGGTTTTTTAAAAAAGCACTTCAGTAGGTGCTGCCCACATTAGCTTCGCCTAGTGTCTGCAGAGTCTTGGATTTGATGTGCGATGATGTTTTTTCCTAATAAACTAACATAAACACTTAGATATTACAATCAAGTAATTTAACTGTGTACCCTATGAAACCGACTCGTGTACCACCCATCACGCTTGGAAAACACAGCATGTATTATTGCATAAGTGATGGGGATTTGGTTTTAACTCCCATAGGCCTGAGATTTGATGGTAATTTAGTTCAACAGTGTTTCCTGAGTACCAGCTGTATGCCAGGCACTGTGCTAGGCACTTCTGAAGAGAACGGAATTAAAATGAATAAGACGGTTCTGGCCCTGAAGGAGCTTAACATCCTTTTTTTTTTTTTTTGAGATGACGTCGCTCTGTCGCCCAGGCTGGAGTGCAGTGGTGTGATCTCGGCTCACTGCAACCTCTGCCTCCCGGGTTCAAGCAGTTTTCTGCCTCAGCCTCTGGAGTAGCTGGGATTACAGGCGCCTGCCACCATGCCCTGCTAATTTTTGTATTTTTATTAAAGATGGGATTGCATCATCTTGGCCAGTCTGGTCTTGAACTCGTGACCTCGTGATCCACCCACCTCGGCATCCCAAAGTGTTGGGATTACAGGCGTGAGCCACCACGCCCGGCCTAAGAGCTTAACATCTTAAGAGGAAAAAAAAAGTCTAAATAACTGCAAATATAGAAAATAACTGTTGTAATACAAGTATTATATTTCAATACAGTGGCTTATTAGGATAGAAAAATGCATGGATCAACTGCCCAAATTCCTATGGCTTTCAGAGTTATCACAAAGCAGTGTAGAATGCCCATGTGACGCCTTTAAAGATTTACAATTAAGTTGATTTTAGAGAACAACTAGAGAATACATAAACTGTAAAAATATAAAAACTTTAATGCTGTTAAAAAGAAAATAACAGCATATAAAGTTAAGTAACAGTGAATGCAATTTAAACAAAATTCCCCTAGTGATGGGAGGGGACATTATTGATGCTGTGGTAGAAATGTAGCTGTTAAGAATTTTGGAGGAAAGAAGTCCTTCTCTGAATCTTAGTATAGTGAGAAGAAAATGGTGCTGAAATGTTTCTTGACAGCCTGAGAGCAGCATAATCTATTAAAAATGTTAGCACCACTTTGGAGATACTTTGGATGGTGGGGTAAATGGAAGCTGTTGGGTTTGCAGTGTTGGTGCATTCTTAGTGAGTAATCCCCATCCTCTTTCATTTCCCCCGAGGAGAATCATGCTTGAAAAAGAATGGAGAAATAAATTATCCACCCATTGATTAGTAAGAGAAGTAGTTTTGTGAATTTATGAAGTTGTGGATAGGCTTTTGTTTTCCTAGCTATACAGGTGTTTGGAAAAATCTGCCCTTGGTATAAAAAACTGTTCAGAAACTTGTTATTACTCCAAGTGGGAGGAGAGATTTAATTGTGGTCTGAGTTCCTTATTCGATGTAAGTGTAAATATTTGTTGTGTATTTTATTTTTTCATTGAGTTTTTTTAGGTACTTGAAAGCTACTCTGAATATCATTTTCATAGTTGATTCATCTCTCAGTTGAACTATGGATGCTTTGAGGGGTATGAGGTATTTTGGGAGCCTGGGAGGCATCCTGTGTTAAGTATTCAGAATACCTTTCATGGTTTTTTAGGACGAGAATATTGAGATACTAGTGCTAATAGGTAAATCATGGATGTTTTCCCCTTCATCCTTCACAGATTTAGAAGTCAGATTTTAAATATTAGAGTTTATCTTCCCTTGAGGAAATAGGTTTAGATTTTGTATACTATAGCTGAACAAAAAGTGGTGCCTCAAGGAGTGTATTTATTTCTTTTAGATACCCCATGTTTTCCCATCACTCGAGGAGTCTGGGCAGAGACTGGACTACACCGTGGGAGAATCTGCAAAGGTGTTGCTGGAACAGACATATTTCTAGTTGTATGAGGTGGCCTGGACATTACTCTCAAGTTCCTTACCCATACTTCAGTAGTAGGCATTTTTCACTAAATTGGAGACCACCCTGTTTGTTTGAGTCTGGAACTCAGTTCCAGTACTGTAACTGGAGACCTGACAACCTGAGCCAGACATCTTTGATTCACCTCTCTAGTTACGTCATGAATGCTGAGGGAGATGAGCCTTCATCAAAACGAAGAAAACACCAAGGTAAAGGTGACATTTATCTTGGTGTAGAAATAAACATAAGTGATAGACGAAATTTAAACTTTCATATCTAGTCCTTTAAACTTCCTAAGGTTTTAGAGGTGTTTGGTGTTGATTTTTAGCCAGTAGTTTTATGTTAGAAAGAAATGAATTCTTCCTTAAATGAAGTCTTTATTTTTATCTTCAACTAATTGTGTATTTCTGGCTGTAAAAATAGAAATGAGTCTACAGATAGAATAAGATTGGCAAAGAAAGGAGAAATAGATTACAAAAGTAAGTTTTATTTAAGGATAATTTTTAAATCCAATGTTTTTGAAACAAAGGCCCTTAGACTTCTTAGAAATTGATGGCTCTATGTTTAGAAGACTACAGATCTAAAAAAATTTTAGTGTTTTCATTTTTAAGCCAACATTTTTATGTAAGATAGAAGGACTCATAAATAGAAGCAATCATAAATGAAAGACATGGTCTTATAGCATAAGATTTTCATTTAATAAATCTGTATTTCTCAAATTGAGGGTCTATAGACAGGAGAGCTTGTCAGAAGTATTACCTTTTAGAAGGGGAACCACATCTTACTCCACTTTGAGAAACAGTTTTTTTGGACCATGTTAATCACTTCTATTATTTCATATTCTTTCTACTCTGAACAATTCATTAGACTTCCTCTGTGCTGCCTGTCTTGCTCCTACCAGAACCCCATCTTCTGAAAGTACAAATGAGGTGTCTAGGTAGAATTTGGAATTGTCTTTCTTACTGAACCATAATTTTCAGTGAAGATAATTTCTGTGAAGGTAATTTGAGAGAAGGCTGTGTGGGTGTCAATGTTTAGGGAGCTGACATAAGTTTATGAAAAGAAGACATTCAAGGTGAGTCTTGTCTGGAAGTCAAGGCTAGAATTAGTGCTCTTCAGGTTCCCTCTGGTTTTATTATCAGAAAGTAGTCTACAGGCTTCAGCTGGGTTCCAGTCAGCTTTGCTAAGCTAATATTCAAATACATGTGTAACTTATTGCTACACAATTACAAAGAACATAGAAAAAACAAAACACTTGTAGAAATTCTAACCAAAAGTGAAAATCTGTTTATGTATAGTACTTAACCATAGCATATGGAGATAAACAAATATTTGAATATTTGAATGAATGAAAGGTGTATTTAGAGGAATTAAAATTAGGTTCCTAAGAACAATCCTAAGATCTATAAATCTAGGGCTGTATGATGATACCAGATTGCTTTTCACTCATGTATTTGTTCATCAGGTCAGCACACTTCTCTTTTGTTTAGCCTCTTATAAATCTGGGATGCTCTCAGATGAAGCTGTGGCATAGTGACATAAGCGTTGATGTAGTAACCACTCCCTGCTTTCTTTTCTCCTCCACCACTAATTATATGAACTTGGACAGCTTACTTAACCTCTTTGCTCCTTGATTTTTTCGTGTAAAATAATGTCTACTTGAAAATCTGTTGAATGAAATGAGATACTACTGTATGTCAAAGTGCCTAACACACTGTTGGCTTCATAGTAGGTACTCAGAAAATTGTGGTGTTGTTTTCCCTTAATGGATGGGGAATTACATACTGATAAAACTTGATTACAACCTGACTCTCTATATGTCCATTCTTCCTAGGTGTTGTGAATAAGGAAAATGCTCTTCGTTAAGCCATATTTGTGACTTCCGATATTTCACTAATACTTTTCAATCAAGAAAACAGCATTGCTAACTTGCCTATCACTTTAAAGTGGTATTTGAAGGATTTGTGTGATACAATTATGACTTTGTAATTAGGCACCCTAGAAACCTGATCAGGCCTATTGCTTACTTTCTTTGATTCATCTGTCTTCTCTGCTGTGATCACCTTGTTCCTCCTGATATGGAAGGTATATAAGCTTTTGTAGTGTGAATTTTTGTTGTGAAGCGTATGAAGGCCAGAGACCTTCCACTCTATCAGTGGTTTTCAAATTGTTTTCCATGGAACCCTCACATTTGAACACATTTCTGTAAGTTTATTAAAAGCAAATGTGGTCAGTATAAAATGTGTGTTCACCCTATCATCCCAGCCCCAGTCCCAGCATGCCAGGGATTGGTGTTCCATGACATGAAAAGTAATGCAGACGGGTTCGACAAGCTATAGAAGTTTGAAAGCCACTGTATTAACCAGATAATCTAATGGCGCTGGTTGTTTAAAAAATGAAATTGCCAATAGAGTTGGTTACAAACTTTAATGACCGGGATAATAAAAATCTTAATGCATTTATAGGCCATTACTTGTACATGTTTTATAAGGAAATATGAATAAGGTTTTTAGACCTTCATTGCCATATTTTAATATGGCAGTGACACCAGGGTAGTGCTCCAACTATGATGATAGCTTATATATTGTTTGCATGACCAGAACCCTTTTCATCTCATATACATAAGAAGACTTTGATTTGTCTAAAACCATCATAGACAGTCTCCAATTTATGAATGAATTGTGTTCTACACATGATCAGTTCTGTTTTCCCCATAGAAATTGTGTTACAAATCTGAGTGGTTCTGCAGAGCCAGAACAATTACCCTTAGTTCTGAGCTGTTGGGGGTAGGATTCCCATTTTTAATGAATGACAGGGAATGGGATAGTTTCCTTTCCTTTCATGGGCATAGGACAAGCTCTAGGCAAAATTCTTTGTAGTAGTTGAAGACTTTGGTTTTGTTTCTTTCCATCTTTTTTTTTTTTTTTTTT